GTTGTCAAAATGCACAGCCAGTTTTCCCCTTTAATAATTATTAAAACATTGTTACACTGTCACATGACCTCAACACTGCATGTGCAGGAGTATACAGTGTGTTGATGTTACATTTGCATGTCTTCAGAGTTAAGAGGAAGCAGACGCTCAGTCTGGACTGTTCAGCGATCCTGCACCCATGAGGAATGATGTAAGCAAAAGCACGCTGAGCTCACTGTGTATTCTCAGTGTATCTCATTAGCGAGCACTCTCTCTTTTATAGTGTTGTTCCAGTGACTTTAAGACACTTCATTGCGGGGATTTAAGATCAGAACAATCTGATCTGCCGCACAAGTAATGATATGGATATTATTAAATATCTGGGAGTGTATACCTCATTATTATTATGACAGGTCAGCAGCAAATTGAAAGACTGTGATTGCATTTTTACTCTTTATTTATTAGTTAATTATAATCTCTTTTTATAGCACTATTTGCAGTATTGTTTGCTGAAGAATCATGTCTGATGTATTTATAATGGAAATGACAGCAGAAAGGCTATAAGAAACATCTAGCCTATACAGCAGATGGTGGTGCAGCTTTTTTTGGTCCGACTGGTGGAACGGATTCAGACCTGCCTTACCCAGCAGCCCCTGAAATTCTCTAGACTGTCTACTTAAAAGCACTCAAGATGCTCACTTAAATTCTGAAATATTATATATAGCCCACACTTGCACACCCTACTAATGTTTGTTGATGCACACATGATTTGCGGATAGGTTCTTATTTCAGACATTAAATCAAATTAACATATAGGTTTAAGAAGAAGGGAAAGATTTTCTCTTTTTGACAAGTTTGTTTCTACTTCTAGGCATTTAAACATCTTTTTGATAACTTATTTTATGTATTCTGTAACAGCAGTATAAATACTGTTTATTATATCCACTGAGACTTTTATTTATCACATATTTTGGTGTCTTTTTATTACATTTTATTCTGCAAGAACACATAAAATTAATTTAAAAATGACAATAAAGATTTTTACAAAAGATTTCTATTTAAAATAAATGCTGTTCTTTCAAACTTCCTATTCAACAGAGAATCCTGAGAAAATATATCATGGTTTCCACAAAAATATGAAGTAGCACAACTGTTTTGACCATTGATATAATAATAATATTCGTTGACTACTAATAAAAATTGTTTTTGAGCACAAAGTCAGCATATTAGAATAATTTCTGAAAGATCATGACATGTGACACTGAAGACTGGAGTGATGACTGCAGAAAATATAGCTTTGTCAAAATAAAAGCAGTAAAAATTCACTAATTACAGACTTTTAAACGGTGGTGTACTTGACTGAGAAATTCTGATGCTGCTCAGTACTCTAGGTTTTGATCTGTAAAAAAGATTAGACATTAAACTCAAGTAGCAGAAAATGATGAAATGTGAGTTGGACTGGTCTCTTTAGCTCAGAGTTGAACATCTTAGCAAAATTGCTCAAGCTTGCTGTTGAATGGGGTTAATTTGTGAACTTTGTGGTTCAAAATTGGACTGAGCTCTGGGATTTGTTCTGGGACTACTTCAACTACATTCAGCTACATGGAGTACATTAATGTCTTTATTTTTGAGGAATACTAGATGGCTTTTGCTGTAATTTTCAGATTCTTCATATTTCTGAATGCTTAGCTGGAAGAGAACTTTACAGATCATTGAATATTCATGACCTGTCATACATCATATATTCATGAATTGTATGTAAGCTAGACAGTAACTATACTGTAGTTTTGTAATAGCTCTTTTCGTTTAATTGATCCTTTAGTTTTCTTGGATGTACATGGGGTCGACAACTTTTTTGACATGAAGTTACTATATATAAATGACGGTGAAAAATATTCCAAAGATCTGGAATTTACCCTGTATATATTTAACTTTCTTGGTGAAAAAATATGAACCAAGCTGAAGGACTGTAAATATTTTTAACAGGCGTGACACCATGTAGTGGGTCAAGTGGCTTTAAAGGGGTCATATGATGTTGCTAAAAAGAACATTATTTGGTGTAATGAAATGTGTTTATGCAGTTTAAGGTTCAAAAAACACATTATTTTCCACATACTGTACATTATTGTTTCTCCTCTATGCACCGCCTTTCTGAAACGCGTCAATTTTTACAAAACTCATCGGTCTGAAAAGCGAGGTGTGCTCTGATGAGCCAGCTATCCAGTGCGTTGTAATTGGCCGAATACCTCAAGCGTGTGACGGAAATGTTACGCCCCTTACCATACTGTGATGCCTTGTCCCGACAAAAACATTAAAACCCATTATAAACGAGACATTTGTTGTATCCAGTGGGGACATAATTACGGATTATAATGACTTATACTGTCTTTTTACGTGTTGTATTGCATCGCGCCGCGTAAACATAAAACCATGTCTGCATTTGTGATCGGAGAAATGACAAACAACAAGCACTACTCTACACTGC